CATTACAAATATCAACTTTAAATCATAAACTGTGAGGTTATGGAGCTTTTCCAAAGTCAAACAGAAATAAAGAATTGTTTTGTTTTTCATTCTGCCTTTAACAGAAATTAAAACCTTATACTTAAGGATTACAGAATACTGTAACTCAGATTATATTGTAAAATAAATACTCATTCTTAAAATGGAACTTATTTATTCAGTTTATCATAATCTGTAAAGAGTAAGATACAATGAATTATGTATTTAAAAAACTTATATACCAAATGCTCAAATACTTTCTACTGTAGAATAAATTCTAACCTTACTTTACAGGGAACCAAAATGGAACTATTTTTTAAATGTTTAATGTTGCCTTTTATATTATTTGGTTCAAAATGTTTATTTAATTCAAATCACCTACATTAAAATGAACCTTCTTGAACTCAGTGAAATTGCTCATGATTGATACAACCATAAAACAATCTATCTATAAGCAGTTTTGATTTTGTAAGCTGTTTTCAGTAACTTTCCCCAAATAAGATCAAAATTTCCTAGTAGAGACACAAGAGGGCAGACATACATAAAACAATGAATTTCCTACTAGCTAGAAATTATTTATCCTTTGATTATTTTTGAGTCTTCTAGCATAGTGAGAAAACAGTAAAGTTTCAAAACAATTTGCTCTTCTAAGTAACAGCACACTTTAAAATGTCTAAAGATTATATGCCAATACTATATAGAAAAGATGACAGCTTGGAAAAAGTCAAACACACACATTAATAATTTTATTCATTAAAACATATAACAAAAAGAAATTATATGCATTTTAGTTACCTAGTGAATGTCATAATGTCATAGTCAATCTGTTGAGAGTGTCTCAGTATTCACATCTTTCAATACAGTTATGTAAAATTATCTTAAACAGTAAAAAAAAAGAAAAAGAAAAAACGGTGCAAAAAAAAAGAGAAAACTTTCTTTTCAGAGAATGTAATAGAATACATAAAATGCTCTCACATTAAAAATAAACCATTCTTATGTCATGTTAAGACAAAAACCAAGTCATTTAAGTCGTTCTACTAAATATTTATATTTTTCATTTACACAGGAGAAATCTACCAGTAAAATATGTTGAAACCATTAGGTGTCAATATCCTGGATGATCAAGCCCCTCCTTGTTTAAAACAAGCACAAAATTTTATCTTCCTCTTTTTAATGACTGCAACCCAGAACTCAGAAACATCCTACAGGATATAAGAGAAGAGAAGAGCTACTTTGTCAATAGAGAGACCACTCCTTCACTTCTGTCTGGAAGATCCACTGTGAGCTTACAGGCATTCAATGGATCATGTTGTGTGTAGAAATACACATCCTCCATTTCCTTCCCACCCCTCTCCCCATCCCCAAAAAAGAAATGCAAAAGGGGCTTAGAAAAGGATACAGTCTTTCCAGAGAAGCTAAGAGTCTGCTGTTTGTTTTCCTCTTATGTCACAGTTTTTGTAGGGTTAGACAGCTTTAGGCGAAGGTGGGAAAAGAGCCGCTAATGTAGGGGAAAGAAAAGACTACGGTGGACATTGCACATGGAGACCTATATCCTAACCAACTGAGGACGCCGATGCTTCTCTTCATTCACAAGGGGAAATGCTTCAGAGTTCTACACCACCTGTATTCTAGTTAATTTAGTAAGGAGCTATGAGAAACAAGGAACACCATGCAAATAAGACTGTGAGGCTGGCTCAGTAAACGTTCAGGACTGAGTTCTAAGAAGAGAAACACTTCCATGTCCCAATACTAATCTTTTGAGGGAGTAAAAGGAATAAGGAGGCTCTGAGCAAATGAGATAAAACATCCTGACAGCTACAAAAGTTCTAGATAAATTTATGGCGATGTTAGATTGTGACTCTCAGCCAAATTCCTTTTCTTGGCTGTAAAATGTTTTGTTTTTTCTTCACAGTGACAAACAGCTGTCATTGAACAACACATTCTCACAGTTTATCAATGGGACAATTATTATTAAGGCTCTTCCCTTTATACAAAAATTAGACTAAAAAGAAGTCAATTTTTTAAAGAGACCTAAGAAACAAGAAAGATGAGAACTTTAAAGATATTTGGAAGCTCCAAGGAGAATTTAAGAAATTTTTTTTTTTCTGTAGTAGTCCAGGAGAATTAGAAGAGAAGTTGTCAAACATTTCAATTAAAGTATCTAGGTTTTCTTTACCTGGTTTCACCTTTCTACTATGAAACTTAAAAGCACTATAAAGAGATCATCCCAAAGAAGGTTAATCAAAAAGTAGGACTTTCCAAGCAGATGCAAATTTTGTCCCTTTTCACCTTCTTCCTCTACTATGTGCCAAGAAGATTTAAAAATAAGTTTGCTCCACAAAGCACCTCCAAGCTCCCTACCCTCTCTCTGCATCGCTTCAAGGTTGGGGAAAACTTTGATTATCGAAGAGGATCCTCCCAACAGAATGGGAGGAGTGAAATTAGTACTACTTCTTTGAAATTCACTCAATTTTCTCAGTTACCTCTCTACGGCACCTACTTCAGGTTGGAGCAGAACATTCAGTCCCCTCCCACAACCATCCCAGATTATTCCAGTTCTGTGTAAAGACACCAGCTGGAGAAGCAACTACCCGATCCCTGTTCTCCTATAACCACAAGCACTTGAGAACTAAAATGTGACAGTATTTGATAAATTAGGTTTCCTATCTTTCAACCGCTTGAATAGATAAATCACAATAAATCTGGTTAAACTGCTCTTTTATGATTTGTAATTCACACATCATGATACATCTGTTTGGTTATGCAGTTTAAATATATATAATCAAGATGATAAGAACTGTGTTCAAAACAAGAGTAAAGAAAGTGCAGAGGAGGTGTTAGCGGCTCTCCCGTGAGGGGCACGTTAGGTTATGTGTGTGTTTTGGGGCTGCACTCAGATTCATGAGGTTACTAGATAAGTGATTTCCTCCTTCTTTCATAGAATATATTCCTTTAATCTTTGTTATTTTTTATTAGCAATTGTAATTATTAGTAATTTTAAGTTTTTACTCCAGGAAAATTTTGCAATTTTCGATGAAATCACTTTGTTTCAGAAAACTCTGGTAATAAGAAAAAAAATGGATGACAGGATTTATGAAAAATTCTATAGACAATTGGTTTCCCAGTTAAAACAAGCTGCAGACAATTACCTTGGAACAGAATACATTTTCAGATAAAGAAATGTACACATTTACATGTGACATTAGGAAGTACACACTTTTCTTTTTATGTAATATTATCATACAGTACTTTCCTTAAAATGATTAATAAATCCTGAAACCCAATTTTTAGAAAAAGCGCATCTGTTTTATAAACCTGAATACATACCAACCACTGCCAAAGCTTTAGCAATGAATTTATTTCCACCTCCTCATTTTATAGATGGCAGAAGCTGTGAAGAAACATATATACAGCGAACAAATATATGAGAAGGTACTCAACACCACTAATCATCCAGGAAAGTCAAATCAAAACCACAATGAGCTATCACCTCATACCTATTAGAATGGCTATTATCAGAAAGACAAGAAATAACTAGTGTTGGTAAGAATGCGGAGGAAAAAAAAACCTTATGTATGTTGGTGGGAAAGTAAACTGGCACAGCCTCTATGGAAAACAGTATGGAGGTTCCTCAGAAAGATTAAAAAGAGAGCTACCCTATGGTCCAGCAACTCCACTTCTGGGTATTTATCTGAAGAAAATGAAAACACAAACTTGAAAAGATATATATGCAACCTGATGTTCAGCTTTACAACAGCCAAGACATGAAAGCAACCTAAGTATCCATCAATAGATGAATGAAAAAAGAAAATGTGCTCTCTCTCTCTACACACACACACACACACACACACTGGAATATTCACATAAAAAGAAGGAAATCTTGCCATTTGTGGAAACATGAATGGATCCTGACAGCATTATGCCAAGTGAAATTAGTCAAACAGAGAAAGACAAATTATGTTTTTTAAAAAAGCAAACAAAAAAATTATACTCATATAAAGAGAACAGACTGATGGTTGCCAGTGGCACAGGTTGGAGGGTGAGTAAAATGGACGAGATGATCCAAAGGTACAAACCCTCAGTTATAAATAAATCACAGGGATATAACATTCAGTATAGTGACTACAGCTAATAATACTGTATTGCATATTTGAAAGTTACTAAGAGTAGATCTTATTACAGGGGGAAACTTTTGTAGCTAAGTATGGTGATGGATGTTAATTGAACTTATTGTGGTAATCATTTTATAATATACACAAATATTAAATCATTATGTTACATACCTGAAACTAATACATTATATGTCAATGATATCTCAATTTAGGGGAAAAAGGAGAGAAAAACTCAGGCCCAGAGATATGAAGTATTAAGTGACAGACAGAGAATCATCCAGATTCTGAATCTGATAAAACCAGAAACAAAATCCAAGCCTTCATTCAAGTTAATGTTCTTTCTATTACATCATGCTAGCTCCTCTGTTTCTGTCTCTAGTTTCTTTGGACTGAATATTTTTTGCTGTGTTTATAAATATCCTGATGCTGGGAAAGACTGAAGGCAAAACAAGAAGCGGGTGGCAGAGGATGAGACGGTTAGACAGCATCACTGACTCAATGGACGTGAATCTGAGCAAACTCTGGGAGACAGTGAAGAACAGGGGAGCCTGGCGTGCTACAGTCCATGTGGTCGCAAAGAGTCGGACACGACTGAGCAACTGAACAGCGGCAAAACAAATGAGAAGAAAAACAAGAAGTCAGGTACAAGGTTTCAAGTTTTCCATGTTAATTAGTCTCAAATGTTTTAAAAGTTTTGTTCATCAACACAATACTTGTAGAGTTTTATAACAGTTATGCTTATTACTGTGCAGGGGAAAGGAAAAGCAAAGCCGTCTGTGCTCATGGACATGCTGTCAAACGCTTCCTTCAAGTGTGCTAGTACGCAGAGCATCCACTGGAGGGAGGCACACACTGGACTCTGAGCCTTACCTGCACCGCTGTTTCCCTTTCTTGCCGAAACTCGTCCGTCTGCTGCTGCTGCCAAGGAGCTAGACTGTAAGAGTCCTCTGTGGTTCTACCTTCCAAGGGGTTTGTCCGCAGCTGCTCCGTCAGCCACATCTGCGTCCTCACAGAAGGCTGGATGGGAACGCCGCCTACCGCTTGCTGACCAAGCATTAAATATTTCGGAGATTCAAAAGCCTCTGAGCTTGTCAGAATAGGCTTGCTTTCAGGTAAGGCACTGTATGTCATGTCTAAGGCCTGTCTCCTAAGAGTGGAGGAAGAAGCTCTAAAGTCTTCTTTGCTACAGCTCTCAAATTTATATTTGCTGTCCAGAGTTGACGGTCGTTTTTTGTTTATCTCCTTATCCTCTAGCTTCAGCATCTCCATGCTGTCGTGTAAACAGCTAGGTCCAGTGGTCCTCAGCTGTGCTGCTAATGCCTTCTCTCTCCCTGTCTTTTCCAAACCTCTCCTTGATGCTTCTGTGCACACCACGCCACCCTGACTACAGTTCTCTGGGACAGTGAGTTTGGATAAAGATGACCATTTCCGGAGGGGCCGGGAGTCCTTCATGTCCAGTGAAGAGTCCTGCTCCCCTCTACTATGATTTCCCAATGCTTGCATGAGGCTTATACTCCATTTTGAGCCATCTGCTGTCAGTGATTCCCTATGTTTGGAAACTGAAGCACTGGAGTTGGACGGCATGACATGGGCAGTAGGAAGAGTAACCAATGACCGACTAGGCTTAAAAGATAATGTGCCACTTGAAGTTGAATGATCTGGAAAGAAAAGAGAATGCCAAATTAGTTGTAATTAACAGGAAAAAAAAAAAAGAGGCAAAATGTAAAATGCCAAAACAAAAATCTGAATATGGTTTCCCAGCACAAGTTTTTTTTCAGAAGCACTTCATCAACATGAGACTTACTACTTATCACTGCTACTATTATTATTAGTCATCTGAAACAAATCAAACCTACTTCCATACATTTTCTAAAAAAATGGATACATAACAAAATATATGCTCATCTGCAATCTATTTACAGATGAAAATGACTGGAAAACAGGTATATATTCATGCTATTTAACCAAAGTACTATGCCTTAAAAGAAAAAACCATCTCCCCACTGAAAGGTTTTACTCATGATAAATCACTGAAGCTTCAGACCCAACTGCTAACTTTACTTAAAAAATGGTATCTCTTAGTGTCTTTCCTCAACTGTGGAAATCTAGGTCCAATCTGAACACTGTAGTACCTCTCCACACTCAAAATCAAATCAGAAGTATGGGTAAAGGTGCTCCTGCAGTAATGGAAAACAATCAGAAAGGGTTCTAAGCAATATATTTGCAGATAGAGAGTAGTTTCTACATTCTCAGTCTCCCTTAATAGCATCCTCAATGATCTATTTTCCCAGGCTAGAACACCTGGAGTCTACCTTGATTCCTATCTTTCTCTGCACATTTACTAAATTCCCAGGTTGTCAATTTTTACTTCCAAAATGACTGCACAGTTATTGCCAGAGATCAGACCTTCACATAATACTATCCCACACATAGGAACTGCTGTAGTAGGCAATATGGAAGCCCAAAGGGTAAATAAGGGCCTCTACACTCAATGGACTTACTATCAAATGCCAAACCACCATCAAATATGCCTAACTAAAATCAAAGATTATCATTTTATCACGTGATATACACAAAGGTGATAGCAATTTGAAGTGTAGGGGTGGGTGATGAAATGTAACTTTTACAGTTTGTTCTCTGTCTTTCCATAATGTTTGACTCAGTATATATTTAAATATTACTTGTGAGTTTTGATATTGTTTTAAATAAATAAAGTAACAGGAAAAGAAATGCTGAGGAAATCATAAGAAGAATTCAGATGAGAAAGAGCCAGGCAAACTATTTTAAAAATATAATTCCAAGAGGTCTCTGCACAGAATTTATTCACCTGGAGATGGAAGGGGGAAAATATTACAGATGAAAGAATATGAGAAAAAGTATCACAAAATATCACTGTAATTTACCATATTATAGGTTCCCACCAGCTTCTACAGAACTCTTTGATACTCAAGAAAATTCCTATATTATAAAGCCAACCTCCCAAAATAAAATTTTAGACCTTAAATTCCCAACATACCCTGCAACTATGATACAGACATTCAGAAGCACCTGCACAGACTTCAGTCAAGTGAGTCACATGAGAAAATGGGCTCTGCATGGAGCTACCATTTCTGGCAACAGCAGACACATTAGCCTCCAATGACAACAGCAGAGGTGGCCAAATCAAGTGCTGGCAGAAAGGGGGCAGCAGCTGGGCAGCATCGGTCGGTTCGTCCATTGGGGCAGGAGAATGTCTGTTCCCAGAGGCGGCTGAGGCGTATTACCTGGAAGCTTAACCCTAAGCCTGGTTCTCCAACGCTCCTCAGAAATTTTCAGTTAACGAAACATCCTTAAATAAATCCCTCCTGTTCTCAATCATTCAGTCAGCTTCTTCTGCTGATTAAGAACACTAACTGATCCAAGTATGAAGCCAGGAAAATATTTCAATAAAATAAATGTTTTTAAAAAGAATACTTATTTTTTTTTAAAAAAGATGCTAAACTCACTAAACAGTAAAAGTGCATTCCCTATTATACACATAAAACTATTAATGACTGCTAATATCCTATGATGATAGAACATGAAACTGTTATAGCCTTTGGAAGAAGAGGGGTAATATGTATACATCAATATTTAAAATATGCAAACATACAGGTGAATATATAAATACACACATATCCACAGGCAGATAAATGATCTGGAGGAATATGTGGTAGTGGTTTAGTCGCTCAGTCGTGTCCGACTCTTGCAACCCCATGGACTGCAGCCCACCAGGCCCCTCCGTCCACGGGATTTCCCAGGCAAGAATACTGGAGTGGGTTACCATTTTCTTCTCCAAGTGATCTTCATGACCCAGAAATTGAAGCCAGGTCTTCTGCACTGCAGGCAGATTCTTTACTGACTGAGCTACAAGGGAAGCTGTGTACATAAGTACATGCATATTCATGGGCACATAAATGATCTGGAAGAATATACTCAAAACTTAATAAGCACAGGTAGAAAGGAGAGAAAAGGAGGATACTTTCATATTCTACTTTACACAATGTCTTATTTTAATTTCTTTCCAAAGAGCATAAATTTACCATTTGGCCAAACTTCTGCAAAGATGTTTTATTGTGTCACCTCAAAGAGTCTGAAATATCAAAGAACACCGCTTCTAAAGTATGAATTATATATGAGGTGACTGTCTCATGTTCCATGCCACAGCTGAAACTTCTGAGACCAGCTGAAACTTGACCAGTCCTAGATGCTACTTCTATCTGAAAATGTGCTAACTTCCTGTCTACCTTTGCCAGTTCGATATTTCCAAACTGCATAGAAAATAAACAATTGGTGATAAAAACCAATTCTACATCACACTAGTATTTACTCCTACAAATCTAAAAGCTAGTATAATATATCCTGTTCATAGAATTCATTAAGAATAGAATTTACTCCAAAACTCACTTACATCTAAAGTTCTCAAATTTCAGCACAAAACAGTTACCTGGTATCTAAGCCCTAATCCAAGAGATTCTCACTCAGTTAGAGAAGAGAAGGTCCAGGAAACATCACTTTTTAATAAGTGATTCTGCTATTCTATTCAGTACAATGTCATTCCACCTGTGACTGATTTCAGTTCTGAAACCTTCAATTTCAAGATTAACTATCTCAAGTCCAATCATCAACAGTATCTGAGGCTCACTGTAAAAACTGATTCACTGTGACATTCAGAATTTATTCTGTGAAATCTCAGAATTAAAGTTTACTCTATTCACATACATATGCACATACATACACATGCACACACACAACATAAATTAATGAACAAAGAACTAAACATTTGACAGTATAGATACTTGAAAAAAACAACCATTCTTAGAGGTAAATCGAAAAATAATTTATTTTGCCTAATGAAACACAATGAATTAGAGGTAAGTGCAATGCATTTCCTAATGTGCTTTATTATACTACCTAACTTAGCCACAAATCTCAAAGGCAAGCTATTATGATGGCATCCAGCAGTCTAAGTTAGAACAGTGAAATCTGAAACCAGCAGAAGGTAGTCCTTTTAAAAGCCAGAGGACAGGGTTTATAGTATTCAGAGAACACAGAAAAGCGAATGATTGCAGACAGATTTCAGCTTATAGGGGAAAAACAGAAAAGGACACTGCTGTAACCTGATAATGCAAGTGAATTATATTTAAGACAACAAAAGTTCTGAATTCTGAACAAAATCACTGTCATGTTATTCTTGTCTGGCGATTCATGCCAGATTGATTCTATCTTCTCTTACATGTAGGGACAGTCTCTCTGTTCTTTCTTATAGTAAAAGGAATTAAATTTTTTAAAAAACCACACCTTCCAGATCTATAGTATAATAAGAAATCATAAATGGTTACAATTAAAAAAATAATCAGGAAACTGTATAAACATATCAAAATATTCTGATTTTTAAAATAACAGCTTATATTTTCATTAAATATAAAACATAGTATTTTACATTTTAGAAAAATATTAAGCCTAACCCAAAGGCAATAATTAAGTTTTATAGAACACCATGACTTTTTCCCGTTCCTGCTAATGCCGTGATGATGTATCATGAGGAAAAAAAAAAAATTTAAGCCACATTTAACTCTCTCCACTTTTTTAAGCAAATGAACATTTTTCTAAGCATTCCTTATATTTTTAGGTAAGTATTTTAAAAACACTCTTAACTATACTCTGGTAGGAAAAGAGCTATATAAAGAAACTCAATAATATTCAACCAATCTTCTAGCAATATATAATGTACAAGGAACTGTGCTAGGCAGAAAAGACTATGCAAATATATTTATTCACAATAAAATATGAAAATAGCCCTCCTCGGGGTTTACAATTTCACCATTACACAAACACAGCTGCAGGACAGGACGAAAGCTTACCATAAGGAAACTACAAAACACCAGACAGTATGAAGTGTGCTGGAGAGAAAAGGCAGATTATTCACACAAGAAGTCTCAGAATGATAGCCAACTTCTCTATAGCAATAATGGAATCCAGAGCACAGTGAAATATCTCCAAAAAGTTAAGAGTAAATAATTGGCACCCAAGAACTGTTTGGAGCACTAAGCTAGCTTCCAAGATTGAAGACAAAATATATAATCCTGCAAAACAAAAACAGAGCTTTTCACCAAGAGACTCACTGAAAGGACTTGTAATAACATTTCTTAAGGTTCTTTCACTAAAAAAGAAAAACAAGTCCTGAGGTGTAAAAACAAATAAGATTAAAAAAAATAAATAAATGTGTAATTATATCTAAGAATGCCAATGATTACAAAACAATATCTAACTTGTGGGTTAAAAAAAAAAGAGGGTAAAGAAAACCAAAATATCAACTATGATGAATAAAACAAGGATGGAACAGCATTCTAACATCATAGTCAAGTTAGAGATGTATGTTATAATTTCTAAACAACTAGAAGAACAAGGAGAGCTCAAAACTGCACAGCCACAAGCAAAAGAATATAAAGCTGGATTCTTCTCTTATACTTTCAACAAGTATTAGCTCAAAATGAACCACAGGCCTAAATGTAACAGCTAAAATTGTATAACTCTTAGAAGAAACCATAGGTGTAAATCTTCATGACCTTTAAGTCAGGCAGTAATATGTCAGAAACAATACCAAAAGCCCAAGCAACAAAAGAAAATAAAGATAAAT